AAAAAAAAATGAAAATATCGAAAAGTACTTAGTAAAGTCGCAATTACTTATTTGTTCTTTAATGCACGAACTGACAACAAATTTTATTATCAAAAATTGCGAGCTATTATTTTTTAATACTGTCATTTGATAAGAAAGCAAAATGTTCATATCCGTATTTGAATTTCAGATTTTATTTTGAGAATTTTCAAATCTATAATTTTTATGAATTTCAGTAGATTATTAATAATTATTATTAATTAAAAAAATGATAATAACAGTAGTAATAATAATGATATCTCATAAATGATTTATTAATTTAATTATTTAAATAGCACAAATGAAAGTGACTCAAAATACAAGTTTTCTAGCTGTAATTTTTTTGCAGTGCTTAACTGCAAGTAAAAGTTGAAAACTCAATACTTACTTAAATTTCTCGTAATGACAGTCAACGATTACAATGAGAACGAGCTTCCGTAAATTAACCAATGCGTATTTGAGAGAAATGCGAAGATACTCGAGAACTTCTTCTAACGAAGCATGCTGCCAACACTGCACAACAACACTTTGCAAATAATAATTTGTGCATAAAGTTTGAATTTAAAAATAAATTTTCAAATTTTTAATTTATATTTAACATCATTTATTATTATTATTATTATTATTATTTAGTAAGAATGACAAATTAAATAACTAACATGAACACTTTATCGTCCTCAAATAGTGCACCTAAGAAAATGAGATAATTGATATTAAGTTGAAAAGTTCGTAATGTTATGGCAACAATAATAATGAGCTTTCTCATTTGTAATAAACTTTCAGTAAATACAAAAAAGAAAAATTATTGTATGTATGTGTGTGTATACGCTTGTGCGTCTGTACAAAATGAGTGTGTACGACTGTATTCGAAAAAGCATTCCTGATCAGTGTGTGAGAGTGAATATAAGAATGAATATTTGAGCAACCTGACAAAAACGTCTGATTACTTCTCGTTCAGCATCAGCCACCAATGCAGAACTTTCTTTGCCAAAGTTTGATTTTAAAAACTGAGCACACGAAATAAATAATGTAATATCTTCTTGTGAACAGTTCGTAAATGATAGAATACCGAAGAAAAGCGCATTGCGCACCTAACGAACTTCGTAAATGGTTGGTAAAATTGTAGATGATAAATACAAGACAATTCGATTACTGTGTTCCAACAACTAATCTTTACAAAAAAGCGTATACTCGTATGGATGAAGTAATTGCTTACTGATGGCTTATATTAGCATAGTAAAATTCAACTGTTACTGTTACTTTTTTGAACGTCGCAAGTGGAAAAGGTAGCACAATGTTGTTTGTGAAGATAGAATTTGCTAAACATTCTTGAAAATAGGCTGAATACGCAAACTGTATACTTCGATTTGCTAGGCATACGCCATCAGTAGCATCGATATCAGAATCACTGAAAAATTTTCATCTAAAATTCATTTTTAACTGATAGCAATAGCAAATATATTTTTTTACAAACGATTGCTTGTTTTCAGAATTTGACCAAATATAATGTTGTACAATAATTAATTCTGAATTCAAAAACTTTCCAGTGTAATGTTGTTAAAACAAACGTGTTGTATTTTGAAGTAGATTGAAAATAAATGAATCAAATTTAATATTATATAATTAGACTTAATTAGACTCATAAACAGAAATACATCTAAGCTTGCATTAATGATTTGCCCAAATTAAGACCAAACTTTTCTTTCTGTTCAAATTTAGAGACAATATTTGATAATTTTAATAAGCAAAAACAAATAATGAAAAGTTTTTTAAATCTCTTTTTTGACGACGTCTGTGCTTATCACATTGAAGACAGCGTAATAGCTTTGGAATCAAAGCAAACAATTCAAGTTTTGGAATCAAAGCATACAATTCAAGAGTTTCAAGTTCCTGAACCAATGCTTGCCGAATGCATTCTTCTTCTTCTGTTACTTTTTGCTCAGGTAGTACTTGATAAGTAAGAAATTCTCTACAATCAAATAGTAAATCAGTGCTAATAATCAAAGAGCTTTTCTTCAAATGCCACGTTTTCAACAAATTTTTCACTTTTTTTACAAACTCGTAATCAGTAGCTACTTCAACAACTGGCTTCATTGACGTGTAAAAGCCATCTAGATTTTTGCAATAATTTGCAAAGTATTTATAATACACGTATTCAATTTACAGACTTAAAATGAATTCTTTAAAAACCTGTTCAAATTCCTGTCCAAAATTATACTCCATTTTTGATGTGGAAAATTTTCAACAAGCAGTAATAACTCGTAACTAAACTAACAAGTTGTTACATCAATAACGCTTTTGTTCTTTTCCAAATTTTTTATTAAAGTAATAAGAAGCAAATTGAAGATTCATTTGTTCGTTCTCTTACAAGTTAAAATTTGTTATGTTCAAAATTGCTTCTAATTATCAACCAATATATCAAATTTTTTCTGTAACTGTCATTTATTATTCAAAAAAAAGAAAACAAACAAATATTTTTGCAAATTTTAAGAGCAAAAATTACTTTATCTAATAGAGATTTATTTTTCTAGCCATTTAGGCTTTAAAAACTCAATTATTTTGGCGGACAACATTAGTTATGCTAAAATGTAATTTTTAAAATTAACTGGATAATGTTTCAAAATTAATGAAAAAGTTTGAAAAAAACAAAATTTAAATTGTATTTGAATTTCGTTTGAAAACAAACCTCTCATTCCAGTGTTATCGTCTCTGAATACGCAACCAAAACGATATTTGCCAGATGGAAATAATTCATCACAAAATGCATTGTTTCTCACTTGCCGCAACGTGATTGTGTACGGAAGTCTAATGAAAAAAAATCCTACAAGCTATTATATTATGCCAAAACTTTATCATAATGCAACTGATGTATATTTTCATTGCTATATGCATATAAAATAAGTGATGACTCAGAAACTGAACTATAAGATATGAAATTCAGATGGAGCACTTATAAAAGAATAGTGCCAGACAACTATAATCATCAAATTAAAGCATGAAGCAAAAGTTAGTTTTTGACGCAAATTTTTTTGTCATAATTTCTTTGTAAAAATGGAATTAATGTAATGAAGCAAAGCCTTGTTACACGAGATCGACTAATATGACGGCAACTACGGTTGAATAAAAAATCCTGCCGTCTTCCATGAAAAAATATTCTACTAAAGCTGAGAAAAGGTCAACCATAGTAGTTACTAAGTCTAGAAGAAACCTTCCTTCATAGGTGGAGCAAACTTTTTTAAATAATAGTAATGATATACTGCATCAGTTCAGCTCATACCTTTAAAACTTGTATAATTTAGAAACGTAAAAAAAATTTGGTCAGTCAAGAGAATAATAAAGTATTTATATTGCTATCTTAAGAGTACAGCTTTGATTCCTTTAAATTTAAAATGTTTGGAGCAAAGTTGAGAAGGAGCGCAAGTGTTCATATATGAGAAAGATAATTGTTCATGAAGATAATATAGTGGAAACAAATCATTGGACTTGGACTAGCAATCAACAATTCTGCTTCATTTTCAAATCAACAGATTATTAATTCATTTACGATGACATTTTCAATAACCTTTTCCCATTTTCTACAGAAACGTACCAAACTTACACAAGCCTAGACAAGAACGAAATATACGAAGTAGAAATGAGCAGATGATAAAACTCCATGAATCAAAATTATTTTGTACCACTGATAAGCAAGAGGAGCAGTCTAAATGATTTCACTCAGGACTGTATTGTTTTGACTAATTTTAGCATCATAAATTCTAGATTTAAAATAACGTAATGAAGTACCATTCAATGGATCGAATGCCGAATAATGTAATGAAACTAATCCTATTCACTAGTCGTCTCTTTTGTAGCAATTTGAAGGATAAGCTTTTAGTGAAAAGTATATCTTTTGCACAACACTGCTTCTTCATATCAGATGGAAGTGCTGCCTCAGACTGGTGGAGAAACAACCGAGCCATCATGTCATAAATTGCAAAACTTGATGCCAATGGATTAAGAAAGTGCTTTAAAAATTTTTCTTTCAAAGCATATATTAAGTCAGTACTTACCTATCTATTAGCTGGCTTCTACGTTTAAAGTTATCGCTTTATATGTAGCAACTGTTCAACTGAATACTTTTCCGCTTCTCACAGCAAATATTTTAATTCAGAAGAGTAATGAATCTTCTTGATTTCACTAGAAAGAAAAATTGATTTTGACTGTCATAGTAAAAGACATCTTGTCGTAGCTTATCTTAAATTTCCATTATTATCAGAAACTCGCACTTACTTAAAAAACTCGTAAAAAGATACTCCAATCAGATTCGAGACTAACACTGATTAATTCGCTACACACTAAATACAATTATCATTTTTAGTTTTCTGTTATTGTTGATATGTACTCGTCGATCTAAATACCTTAATCACAGAAGGTAACAAATTTTGTACGACTTATTCCCTTTACGTACATTTAAAAGCACATTTTAGTTATTATCACACTATAACTTGTTAATAAAAAGGATTTCAAAATGAACTGTCCACAATAATTATAGCTTATGATGATGAGTTTGACAGAGAAGAATTGAGCTTTAAAAAACTTTGCCCCATTAATTTCTACACTTGAAGTTTTTTGAATCTTAAAGGATTAAAATGATATAAAGCACACTTTTCGTTTAATGCAAATGGCTGCAATATTAATTTTCCAAAGTTTGACAAAATGCATTTTGTGATGCATTCTCACAATACATAAAATCTTGACTTTTGTAACGCATTTCACAACTGCTTTGCCTTCACATTTCTTCGTAGCACAGTTGAGAAGCTGCATCTTGAAAGAAAATGAGATTCTGATTCATGTATGTATTATTTCTGTCTCAAGCTGTCAAGTATTTGAAAGAGCATTACTGCTATTACCTCCAATAATCATTACAAACGTAGCAAGAATGAATGAAAAAAAAAAAAACGACATATTGGCAATTCCTAATAAAGTACTCTACTAATTAACTAATCAACACATCTGTGGAAAATTAGTTCACAATAAATTAATTATTCTTCACAGTGTAACATTTCAAATAGTTGACATTTCATGATAAGTGGAATACTATGAGAGAATAAAAAAAGGCAAGTCAAAGGTAACACAAAACTAATTATCAAAATAATTTAAACTGGCAGTTACAAGACACTCATCATGAATCAGTTGCATTCATCTACCTATCTGTGATCGTCAAGACTACTCTACAAATGCTATTCTATTACTTGAAAAAGGCATACAATTTCTATTTTCTCAAAACAACTTAAGAACATTAAGCATTTGGCTACAACAAATAGTCTTCAAATAAATAATAATAATAATAATCAATATTAATCAATAATAATAATAAGTAATCAATAACATTAATAATAATCAATAATAATAAGCAAAAATTTAATTGAAATAAATAAAAATTTATAAAATGTTTAACAGAAGAATAATTTATTTGCTCTTATGAATAGCAAGTAAATACTCTCACAAAATGACAGCTTGCATTAACGACTAGCACGCATAGCTTAATCCCGGCACTTTCACTGATTCCTCACAGCATTTATCCTTACAAAATATTTTCCCTCTCAGTTTATTCTTTTCACTTTTGTATTTCATTTTTGTGTCATTCATATTGCTCATATCTCGTAATTTTTTTTTTCTCTAATTGCATACGCTTACTATATTCTTTGTTATTTTGTCAAATACAGTAATTACTACTCTAAAGCAAAATAAAATAAATGATTAAAATGAACGAGTGAGAGAGTATATGCTGTCAAACACTTACTTGTTGGAAAAGTAAAGAGTTTACTTTGATGTAATGAAATTTTAGCTCTTAGAACACTCTTAACCAGTTTGCACCAAAAGATAGCAGATAAAAAGAAGGAGGTACACACATGACAAAAAAGGCAAGGATGGGAGGGAGTAATTGGAAGAAGGAGGTGACGATTAAAAGTAATGACAAAAGTTGGTTCCATGTTTACCTCTTGACTATATAAAGAACTACTACAAGGTTATTTCCATTACATTCCGTCTTGCACAAGACAAACTTCAACTTTCTACAAAGTTTTTCCATTACACATACTACTTGTTTTTTCATATTTGCTTCCTTCTAGCAGCAATGATTATTGCCATTATTACCATTCTTCTACCGCTGTCCCTCACTTATACCGTCCAACCTCGACTTCGTATGTTTTTTCATCTATTTCATAAATTCATTGCTGCATTTTACATTATTCTAAATTGAAAATAACCAAAATATTACTTCTTGTCCGTAGTGAATGCTTGTTTACGTTCCATCTACAATATTCCAAAATAGCTCATCAGCTACACCAACTCTGATTAGCCATTTTATTGTGACTTATAAAACAAAAATTATTTTTCAGTAAAGTAATTAGACTTCTTACACAACATTGATGGAATCTGTGCCTAAAGCAAATGGTTTATTAAAATTTTTTCTCATTTATATGAAACGGAGCAGAAGACAACCCATGTCAGAGTTTCGAGTTCAAAAATGAAACACTTTATATAATTCACTTCTATAATAGTTTGCTCTACAATTCCAATAATAAAATGTAGAAAAAAAAAATAAAACGAGCAGCCTAGCGGTATTTCTGGAGGTGCACAGAGCTAGCTAAACAACACCTAGATTGCTTTTGCAACCACTGCTTTTGCTTTTTTCCTCTTATATTTTGAATCCACAAAATTGTGCCATTAATTTTCAAATAACGTTTAATTACCTAAATATTACATAAGTTATGTTCACTTTATTTAAGCTTACATAACAACAAATTGAAATTTAACAATTAAGTACTATGTACTCTATTTCAGTATTCAAAAGGAATAATGGATATGGCGACGAACCTGCTGTTAACGTTGCTGTTTCTGCACCACCACCACCACTTTCCATACCTTTAGAACAAGCTCCACAACAAGCTGCCCAGTCATATGCAGCTCCAGCTGCAGTAGAATCTAGTGGATACCGCAAAAAACGTAACAACGCTTATGGTGATGAAGCTGTGCCTCCATCCCCTGCGGCAACATTAGCTATGCCAGCACCA